ATTTCCTCCTTATACCTTAAGTTAAGGAGGGAATGTTCCCCCTTCTTTTACACCTCTTGACCTTTGACCTTTGACCCACAGCTTCGACATCCCAACTCATTTTGACGATCCCCCCCAACGTCCCAAATATCGTGACCGTACGTCGAGCGGTTAAGATTTGTGCCCAACTGTTGACGGACGCACGGACGGACGCACGGACGAACGGACGGACGATCATGCGATTCTACAAGCTGCATCTGACTATGTCAGATGAGCTAAAAACATTAATTTTCACAAGTCGTAAAAAATCGTAAGTTTTTCAGTTTGATCGTACATTCGTAGAAACATCATGGAATTCGTAAGGAATACGAAAAAATCGTAAGGGTTGGCAGGTCTGTAAACGTAATAGGACGTTGTCATCTCTCCCATAGGAGTAACAACTGTTTTGGGGCTAGCCTTACACATTCACATACCAAAATTTAACAAAATCGAATGAATTTAAATGGCCATTTTCATTTTTGCCAAAAAGTAGGTCGATGGCGTGCCCCAAAATAGTAAGTTCAAATCTCTCCCATAGGAGTAACAACTGTATTCAATTTGAAACATGAGGGTCAAATGGTTCTTGAGTTATCGTTGACCGTAGGCAGACACTGAAATGCATAGTGAAATTGCCAAAATCTACCTAATTTGCATAATAATAATAAAAAATCAAAACCCGTGTGATATGTTTTGGGGCCAGTCCTTATTCATTCACATACCAGAAATGAGCAAAATCCTATGAACCTGAACTGACTTATGGCCATTTCCATTTTTGCCAAAAAGTAGACGTGGCTCGAATGTAGGTTGACCGGCGTGCTCCAAAATAAGACATTCAAACCTCTCCCATAGGAGTAACAACTATATGCAATTTGAAACATGTGGGTCAAACGGTTCTTGAGTTATCGTTGACCTTAGCCAAATGTTGACGGACGGACGTACGACGGACGACAACCCCATGGCAATAGCTCATCTTGACGATGTCAAGGCGAGCTAAAAATTTAAATTGAAACACTGAATTACATACTGAACTACATTGAAATTGAACTACACTTTTAAACGACACTAAAATTGAACTACACTTTTGAACTACACTGAAATTAAAACTGGTATTATGGAACGGACACCAGGGTAATGTGTCTGGCAGACACTGGGGTAAGCTAACGTGGGCAACAGCATTGCAGTTCCTACCACAACCACCTGTTGTCAGCTAACACTGTAACATAATGTCACCTACCATAGTCACACAGTGTCACATAACACCGTCACATGGAGTGTGCTGTCACACGTCACCTACCGTAGTCCTGCGAGACGGTGTCGCACTGCGGGCTCATGTGCGGGTAGCCGCCGGGCACGACGACGGAGATGGGTGGCACGGCGGGCAGGCTGCGGTCGTCGAGGCGACACAGCAGGTGCACGGTGCGCGAGCCCGCGTGCCGCGCCGCGTCCAGACGCACGCGGAAGCGACGGTCCAGCCGCGCGATCTCACCCTGAAGCAGGTCCGGCACGTCCTCGTCCGACGAGTCGAGAGTCTCAGTGCAGCGCCGCTTAGCCGGCGGCGACGGCGCCCTGCAAAACGTAGAGGGCGCTAGCATCAGACGGCAAAATTTGTACGAGGACAGCGAGGGCGTACTGCAAATGTAGAGGGCGCTAGTGCTACTTCATAGGTTGTTGTCGAAGTGGTAAGGAGGCATGCTCTCTTGTTGACGCGTACCTGATGGGCGAACCGTAGAGGGCGGCGACGGTGGGACCGAATGTTCGCTGCAGCGTGTGGTTCAGCATTGGTCGCTTGATGTTCTGTGTGAGCGCATCGAGTAGAGGCTGGAACATGTGCTGGTCCTGAGGCATCCGCTGCTGCTGCAGCTGCTGCTGCTGCTGCTGCTCCTGCTTAACCTGGGCCATGCCCATCGCCAGCTGCTGCTGCTGATGCTGATGCTGCTGCTGCAGCTGTTGATGTTGCTGCTGCTGCTGCTGGTGTTGCTGCTGCTGATGCTGCTGCTGCCAAACGAAAAGGGAAAAAAAGATGGCCGAAATGCACGACGAAATCTCCCGGTGTTGAGATACATTATTTGAACCGCCGCTCATCGTTAACTCTCTCTCTCTCGCCGAAGCCAGAGCTCCGCTGCGAAACCACAAGCTGTGGTGCTACACCAGGTCTCCCGATTCCTAATATACAATTACAGACCTAACACCTATTTACCTGGATATTTACCTGGAGGACACTCGTCCCCGTAAAGACAAGTGGCTAGGGGTTACGAAGCTTAAAGTTTATATAAAATCCCTGCTACGCAGAAACATATCGAGATGTCATTTAAACTACAGTCTGGCATAGCACTGCTTCAGTGGGTAGACTGTTCCATAGATCGACTATGGAAGTTGCTGCCACCTGGCGGAGCGACAGGCGGTACGTACGTGGCGGGAGTGCAGGTCGAGTTTCTCGAGCACCTGCTCACATCGCATGAGCACCTCCATCGGCATGCGCCGGTTCGGGTCGGACAAGTTGTTCAGCAGCATCTTCATCTTGCTCAGCTCATGCCGCGGATCTGAGGACGAGAGAGATCACGAGCAATGTCGTCACACGTCAACCATCCGCTAATAGTGGATCTGGGATAAGTTAAAGGATCTGAGGACGAGAGAGATCACGAGCAATGTCGTCACACGTCAACCATCCGCTAATACTGGATCTGGGATAAGTTAAAGGATCTGAGGATGAGAGAGATCACAAGCAATGTCGTCACAAGTCAACCATCCGCTAATACTGGATCTGGGATAAGTTAAAGGATCTGAGGACGAGAGAGATCACGAGCAATATCGTCACACGTCAACCATCCGCTAATACTGGATCTGGGATAAGTTAAAGAATCTGAGAATGAGAGAGATCACAAGCAAAGTCGTCACAAGTCAACCATCCGCTAATACTGGATCTGGGATAAGTTAAAGGATCTGAGGACGAGAGAGATCACGAGCAATATCGTCACACGTCAACCATCCGCTAATACTGGATCTGGGATAAGTTAAAGGATCTGAGGACGAGAGAGATCACGAGCAATGTCGTCACACGTCAACCATCCGCTAATACTGGATCTGGGATAAGTTAAAGGATCTGAAGACGAGAGAGAGATCACGAGAAATGTCGTCACAAGTCAACCATCCGCTAATACTGGATCTGGGATAAGTTAAAGGATCTGAGGACGAGAGAGATCACAAGCAATATCGTCACACGTCAACCATCTGCTAATACTGGATCTGGGATAAGTTATCCAGGGATCTGAGGATGAGGAAGACACATGAAGACCCACGCGTAATTGTCACGAACAATGTCGTCAACCATCCGTTAATACTGGGTCTGGGATTAGTGATAAAAGGATAGAGGACGAGAGAGAGACACATGAAGACAAATTCTCGCTGTTTTGACCGGCCGAGACTATACGCACGGCGGCCGTGTGGGCCAGATTCAATATGGCTATACGCACGGCGGCCGTGTGGA